GATGTTGCTATTTAATGATGCTATCTTTTTTCCCCCAAGATGGCGCCGGTGGCGGGCGGCTAGCACTTCTCTCCATCGCACCGGCTTGCCTCTTGGGTCTTACTATTTTTCTGCCTCTCTCTGCTTTCCTCTGCTTTCCTCTCTTCTTTTCTTTCTTCCTCTCTCTCTTTGTCTCCCTGGTCTGCCCCCCCCCGTTCCCTCGTTCCCTCAAGAGCTGGTCGCTGGATTGAGTGCGCGACTGCGGGGCTAGAGCTGGAGCTCAAATGCAGGGCCAGAACTGGTGTTTGTTCGTGAAGCGTTCTGGCTTTCAGCGGAGCCCGGAGGCTCAGGTGCCTTCCATCCAGGAAGAGAAAGCGGGTGAGCGTTGCAGGGAGCCTGTCTCGAGATCAAATTGAGACCGGAGGGGAGAGGAGCTGGAGAATTTAGAGGCTGCTGTTCGCCCCCCCTTTCCTGGCGAGCTTTCCCGACCACGTGGTTGAATGCCGGAGCCTGGAGCCAGGTTCGCTGGGTTTCCCTGTGCCGGTGGTGGTGGCTATGATGTCCAGGAATCCCCGCAAGTCTCGGGCTGCTGGAGAGGTGGAGTGGAACATCCCAGGCTGTGGAAGTAAGATGGCAGGGGAAAGTTCTTTGGTGGCCATGGAGGAAAGGGAGCTGACTGTTGTGGTTTCAGGCTGGGCAGTCGCCATGTTGGCCTCCCTAACGGCAGCCTCCTTCCTTGATCTGGACTGCTCACCCTGATGTTTTTGGACTATCTTCAGAGACACTTCACTCTTTTCCCAAAGAAGGGTAAAGGAACTGCCAGGGACTGAACATCTTTCTACCTGGACTTTGCTGTTCCTGATGTTGCCTACGCTCATCAATAAGATCTATGTGGTGCTACTCGTGAGTAACACCCTCAATCCGATGTTTTTACTCCTAATAACATCAGTCTTAATAACTCTGAGAAGAACTTTTATAACAACAAGACCAGTAAAACTTAAAAGGATAAGACTACGAGCCGGAGGAGGACAGACCTGGACTATATGTGGGGGATAATTTCTTGGTGTTTTTTTTTTCCTTTAAATTTAAATTCATATATGGAGTTCTTTGTATTGGGATTCTTAATTTGCAATACTGTATATTCCGGGCTATATTGGGGGATAATTTTTATGGGATTTTTCTTCTTTTTTTCTTTCTTTCTTCTTAGTATATAATTTGTATTATTATTATTAGTTCTTAATTCAATTCTGTTATTATATTTGATTTATGTTTTCTCACTTAATGTATGCTACACTGTATATGGTTATTTTTCATTTTGTTTTTGCTTTGTTATTCAATTTGTTTGTATTAAGGTAGAAATTTTCTCTTTCTTCTTCCGCTCTCCTTTCTTCTTCCCTCCCCCCTCCTTTCCCCCCTCCCCCCTCTTTGATATGGAATGGAAGGCCTGCCCTCCCAGCGAGGGGCCCCAAAACATCTCTGTGATCAC